TGTTTGATTGGTTTTGTGACTGAGTTTTCCTATTGCCCAAACCAGATGTGCAGCGACCACTCATAGGCCTGACCTGATCGACAAGAAACTTTGACCTGCCTTCTTTCTGGCTCAGACTGGTTTGTCCCTCCTTGGGCATCCTGGTGGTCTGTCATTTCTGGGGGCTTTCCATGTCAGTGCCAGACTTATTGTGAATACCTGATCAGCTTTAGCCTTCCTACAGCTTAGAACTCCCAAGTTCAAGAGAAGTACCAGCCTCCGCCTCCCTAGGAGCAGAGGTTTCAGGCATGGGACACGGTACCTGTCCTTCCCATTTGCTTGTTAATCTTCCCCTTTCTGGGTTGCATTATATTCTACCTTACACATATCAAAACCCTCCCTATTCCTTACAGGCCATCTCATGTTCCAACTCCTCTATAGATTCTTCTGCAGTGCCTTATAAAATCTTTTCTGATTTAAACTTATATTGAAATCTTTCTTTTATAAATATGGGGTATCCCAAAAGTCTCAGTGGAGTGTGATACTGTAATATCTTAAAACTATTAAAACTGTTAGAATGCCCTGTATATGGCATTTATCTATACCATTTATGTAGCATTCAATATAAGATGTATATTGTTATTTATATTTTTTCTATGTGTGCCTAACTTACCTTGAAAGGTAGAATAACCAAATAAATATACCACTGGACATAGAGAAAGGGAAGGGATTAGAAATCTATTATGTTCAGGCACTGTACTAAGTATTTTACAAATATCCCATTTGTTCTTTGATTTTGATTTGCTCATTGGACATCAATGAATCATCAACAGAGTCAGAATATCTGGGTTTGAATCCAGTTCAGTTATATAACTCAAAATAGCACTCAGAGGATGACCCCAGATTTGTCTCTTTTGAATGAACAGGGAATGTTATAAAACATAATACTATTTCTAGATGTGATCATGGGTGAGTCACTTAACCTATCAGAGTTCCATTTCCACATCTTTGAAATCATTATAATAATGTGACACTGCCAACTTCACAGGGTTCTTGTAAGGAAAATACTTTACAAATCTTAACTCTGTGAGAGCAGGAGATACTTTTCTGTATCTTCATAGTGCTATGAACATGGTAGGTGATTAATTATATACTGGTTTGTATTAATCAGTAATGATGTAAATAAAATCCACAATATACTTCACCTAAGTAACATTGAAAAATATCCCAAACTAATAACTTTATCACTAGTCAGAAAATATTCCCATGGATTCTTTAAATTTGCCGTGATATAGATGAGTGTTCTCCCAAAATGATCAATTGTTTTTGTAGAAAATATTTCAGTCTTGCAAGATATATTTGAGTTTGTCTTGTTTTAAATTTGAGGATGGAATGCCTGATGGATTAAGACATATGTTCTGTGTTGGGTTTCTCTGTGGGAATATAATTTTTTTAGACCTCTTCATCATTATAACTTATGTATGATAAATAAGGTATTGTGCTCATTATCACAAGATTAAATTGTTTGATAGACACAGTTGGTTATTTGTTCTCACCTTGAGTTTGACTCCTTTGATTGAGTTTCTTAGAGAAATAATTTTGGGTACCCAAGGGTAAACAGCTACATGAAATGCTTGTAAATAAGATTGCAAAATGATGAGCTAGCTTATTAGAATAGACAACCTCATTGTTTTCCTGTCTATCTTAAGTTGTTCATTCTAAGGATAATCCTAGAGCCAAATGATATAATTAGAAACTACCTTGGTTTATTACCTTTCCAAGCATCTACTTTTTTTTTTCAAACTTTTTATATTTAGGTAGGTTATAGGCCATAGTTCCTAATGGTAGTTTTTCTTTGGGGCTGAAACTAGCTTCAGGTCAACTAACTGTCAAACCTGGAAAACAGTTTTGAACATGGAATCATAGATTTATATCTGAAGGAGACCTTAAAAGTCATGTACTCCATTTCCATGGTTTTATATATTAAAAAACTGAGCCCCATGGAGATCAAATCACTTCTCCAAGGTCATAGAGGTGATAAGTAGCCTTACTAGGATTTGAACCTAGGTCATTGACAAAATTTAGTACCTTTTCCATTTCTTCACACTAGTCCCCCTCAAAAGCAAGTCATTAGAGATCCAGACTGGGCTAACAGATCCAAATGAACTTCAAGTTCACCTTATATCCCAAGATCTTTGGAATCACAGATTTTCTAGGATTGGTGTAGAAATTAAGCTGATAGGAATAGTTCAGCCAGTCTTATCCAAATAATGCAACTTAAAATTCACTGGTGTTAAAAATGCAGCAGGATGAAATCAGCTCAGTTCAAACATTTTATTAATCATAATGAGATACTTCTTGCTATTTCAGGTCCAGGAATTCAATGGGAAATAAGAAAAAAATGGATGGACTCAAATAATGTTTAAAAGCAGAAATGATAATACTGTCAGTAGAGAATATTCAACTATACATGTATACACACACATACATACACACACACACACACACACATATATATAGTATGTGCATGTGTGTGTATATCACTAGGTACGGATACAGACATAAAGCAGAAGAATCAACAGTAGTATCCAGTGGGCTACTAATATGATGATGATGCCATTTATGGTAATGGGAAATATTGCCAATGGGAAGCTTGAGGTGTTGTTTATAGAATTGTTGGGGAGAGTGCTGAATGTAGACCCTGGTACAGGGTCTGGAAAATTGCTTTGTAAATCATTCATATATGACTTAGGATGAAAAACTACATTTGAGATTCCACAAGAAGTACAACTACATATTAGAGTAGAGTAGGGAGCTCAAATTTGAGTCTAAGATGTTTATTAAAACAGTATAGAATTTTTTCTCCCACTTTCTCCATTTAAAACCTTCTGTGGTGATTAATAACAGCATGTGGATGTGACTCTGTATTCTTAAAGTCTGTGATTCTAAAGTATAAACCATGGCAGGGCCTAAGAATTTGGGGAAAAAAATTAAATTAGGGCTCAGGGGCACCCTCTGTCTCTTGTCCAAAGACCAACCTAGATAAATGCAGAATGACTCATTACCAAAATATTGCCCACTAAGTGATGCATTTGTTTGTCCAAAAGCACTCACTATAATTTATTAAGGCATAGAATAGTTATAACCTATAGCGTTGAAGGGAACATCTACACTAGGGGGTCTTAACCTGAGATCCACAGTATCGGTGAATAAATTGCAATGGGTCCATGAACTTGGATGAGGAAAAAAAAATATATCTTTATTCTAATACAATTTGTTTCCTTTGTAACTCTATGTATTAAAAAAGTTATTCTGGGAGGGATCCATAGGATTCACCAGACTGACAAAGGGGTCAATGACTACAAAAAAAAGGTTAAGAACCTGTGATCTACTTTTGAATTGTCGAGTAAATTGTGGCTCTTATTAGTTCTGTGAACAAGGTAATGGGTTCACACTCAATTTTCCTGTATTTTTGTGCTTGATTGCTCTTCTTTTAGAAAATACCAGAGGGTAAGAATTAAACCATTCAGAAAAATAACATCAGTCAGGGTTCTTTGATCACTACTGCAACAATTAAAGTCATTGTGACAGGTGGACCAAGTGTTGTATTGAAATCATAAAGACCAGGATTCAAATCCAAACTTGGCCTTTACTAGCTGTGTGACCACAGGTAAATAAATCACTTCACCTCTGTGGGTCTCAGTATCCCTCCTCCATAAAATGGAGATAATAACACCTATGATACCTACCTCAGACAGAGGTTAGAAGGTTCAAATGAGATAATATACACACAGTACTTTGAAAACACATATATAAATGTTAGTCATTAACTAGAATCACTTGATGTTCTAGACACCAGACCTATCAAATACTTGATATTGTTGTCTGGGTACATAAACTGAGGATTTCTTGCCTTCCTCTGCTGCCTTAAAATAACCTATATGTTTTTGAAGTGATGATTTCATTGCTCAAAACATTTTGAAACAGTCCTTTGAAATTATCTTCAAATTGAGTTACTTAGCCACATAGGAAAACCAGCCTCATTACTTTATAATCCCATCTCATTTTCTACCAATGATTATATTATCTGGTCTGATCACCTACTGTATTTGCCAGATATAGTACCCAATGACTTGGCTTTTAAAAAAAATAGTAAATAACTAAAATTATTCCTCAAAGCATGGAGTTTTGACACCATTAAAAATATCCAAAAAGAAGAAGGCCGCATAGGCTCTAAAAAATATAGATAAATATATTTCTATCTATTTTTTGTGAAGATTCGGACTCTCTATCCTGACTAAGCTAGAAGTCCTGGGGCTATCTGCGGGTTCAACCACATTCTAATTGACACAGGAGATTTGCCCTGCTGTGTCTGACCTGGACTACTTCACTTTTCCTTAAGCAGTCTGGTTCCTGTGCCTATTAACTGAGGTGGGAGGGTGGAAGGGGTGGGGGGAAGAGATGGTTGAGGAGGGTCACCATATTAATGCCAAACTTAGCCCACTGTAGCTCAGAACTACCAATCTCAAGCAGTCTATGAGACTCAGCCTCTCTGCTACCAGGGATTACAGAGGTGAACCACCACACTTGGCTAAAAAAGAAATTTTAAAAATAATTTTGAACCTTGGAACAATGGCAGTACCTCCCAATGTGACTGTTTTATTAGAAAGAAAACTCATTCAACTGATTCAACAGATATTTGAGTTCCAACTTAATGCAAGGCAATGTGCTAGTTGATTTGGAAGACACTAGATAATTTCTTCTATGGTTGGTAAAAACTCTTCCATGTTTCCATCTATTCATATGCCTCATACATTTACAGATTTATGGCGTGATGTTTCAAATTTGTTATATCCATTTTTCAAGGAAAGTTTAAGATTATCTTTCAGAATCAAAGAACTAATACAAATTCTGTAAAATGCGACCTCGTCTTGTTGGTTCAGAGACCAAAGACATAGAAATAAGAAATACTTTTAAAAAAATAAAGGATGATAAACATAATGTATTACCTCTATTTTCAGGCTGATCTTGGGGAAACACCAACAGAGTCTAAGAGTGAACCCAGACCAGCACCAGCCGAGAATGGAGTCAATCACACTACATCACTGGCACCGAAACCACCATCTCAGGTTGTCCACAGTCAACCAGCCCCAGGTAACTGACAATACAAGTTTTGTATAAAACATAAGGAAACTAATTCTCAATATTGTGTGTGATATATAAGGGAACCACATGGATTGTTGAATGGAAAAAATAAATGAGAAATTCATACTTATTCCCTGAGCAAATTTAAGCCTAATACTTAGCAGGCAAGCAAGCCTAATACTCCCTGATCAAACCTAAGTTACTCATCTTTCTTACGCCTTTTGAGAAAGGTTTAACAGTGATTGTCATTCATTTATCATGCAAGGCATTTGAAGCATTGGCTTATAGCTATTTAGTGCTGTGGGAAGATTTATCATTTCCAAATCTGAACTTTACTATAATGTTGTATCTACCTTAAATGTTTGCCCTCTTCCTATCCACCTATGCAAATCTTACCTATCCTTCAAAGTCAAGTTCAAATTCCCCTTCTTTCATGAGCCTTTATCTGGCCACCTCATCCTTCATTAAATCTTTTTTTTTTTAATATGGCTTCAGTTATCTCTTTTCAAATAATTGCCAGGTCATTTTACCAATCAATTGCCAAATCTTGTCATTTTATCCCTTACATATGTACTCTTCTCTCCTTTTTCCATTGCGGTCTAACCCCTCATCACCTTCTACCTGTGACATTTAAAAAGATTAGAGGGACATAGTTTCTGGGTAATTTAATCATTTTATTAAGAAGGCCAGCAGGTTATTAAGAAAAGGATAATCATTTGGTCATTTCTCTTAGACCAAAGACTCCTAATGGTAATGGGGGTCACAGTTTATATGACCTTCTAGAGGAGGTGTTCCCAAAGGGTGCCTACTCTAATTTGATTGGTTGATCAAATGGGAGGTGGGCAAACTTTGACTTAGGTAATGGTCAAAGAGACATCAATTTCCATGTTACCTATCTTGATAATAGGGGGAATCAGCATTTTCCCAGGACCTGTCAGAGCAAATACAAGGAGCAGGAATATACCCAATTAGTGGGAACTTAGAATTTCTTTTGCTGTCTGATTAGATATTGGCCTGGCTAAATGTCTAAGAGAAGTTTCTTACACTGGTTGGTTTCTGAATGAGGAAGTAGAAAAGGGGGAAAACCTTGGTCCTAATACAATAATTAGTTATTGAATATAAGGGAGAAATATTCATTTCTCACAACCTGAACTATTGCAATAGGCTTCCAATTGTTTTCTCACTTTCAAGTTTCTTCCCACACTAATCCATCCTCCACAAAGAGGCCAAAGTCATTCTAAAGTACAGGTAGACTCATGCCATCCTCATACTTAATAAATTCCAGTGGCTACCCATTATCTCTTGCATATGGCATTTTAAACTCTTTACAACCTGGTTGCTTCCTATCTTTCTAGGTTTCTTACAAATTACTCTCCTCCACAGAATATATGGTTCGGCCATATTGGTTTCCCTGCCCTTCCTCACACAAGACACCCCATTTCTCGTCTCTGTGCCTTTGAACTAGTTGTCACTTACCTTGGAATACTCTCCCTCTTCACATCAATCATTCAGGATCCCTTAGTTCCTTCAAGAGCTAAGAATCAACTTTCAAATATCACTTTGCGTAGGCGACCTTTCGCAGTCTCCATAGCTGCCAGTGCCTTCTTTTAGGTTACATTTCTTCTGTTTTGCATACATCTTGTATAAATAGGTATTTATAATGTACATCTTATCTCTCCCATTAGAATATGAACTTCTTGAGGGTAGGGCAATTTTGCTGTTTCTTTTTATCCCCAGTGCTTAGCACAGTGCCTGCATCTAGTAAGTGCTTAATTAACGCTTGTTGATTAATTGATTTAGAGTTGAAAAGGACTTTAATTTGATTTCCTGTAGTCCTATTACACATGTGGTCTCTATCATTTATTTAATCATATGCTGTGTCACATTATTGTCTATTTCATGTGACTGTCTTGGGTTGCTCTTTGGACTCGAAGCTTCTTGAAGGCAAGACCTGTATTATTTTTCTTTTGCCCTCTTTTTTAAAATTTTTTTATATTCATATGTTATATATATTATATTATATATTTATATTTATATTGCCCTCTAGTGTTATGATAGATGATAATATTGTATTTGTTAAAATGAAAAATATTGTATTTGTTAAAGTGAATAATAAAATCAAAGAAAGGGAAAAGGAGTCACTATATAGTACAGTGTCTTTGTTCTCCTCCTGACCACTCCTTCTCAGTCTCTTTAGTGGATCCTTCTCCAGATCATGCCTTCTAATCATAGGTGTCCCACAGGGCATCTCCTGAGTCCCTTTCTCCTCTCCATTTCACTTAATCCCGTCAGCTCTCATACATTTAATTACCATCTCTATGCTGGTGATCTGAAATCTACCTATCTTGCCTCAACCTCTTTGTTAACCACTAGCCTTGCATCTCCAACTACCTTTCAAACAACTTGAATTTGATGTCCAGTTGTTTCAGTCATTTCCAACTCTTCATGACCCCTACTTGGAGTTTTCTTGGCAAAGATACTGCAGTGGCTCGCCATTTCCTTCTCCAGCTCATTTTTACAGATGAGTAACTGAGGCAAACAGGGTTGAGTGACTTGCCCAGGGTCACACAGCTAGTAAGTGTCTGAGGCTAGATCTGAACTCAGGAAGATGAGTCTTCTGGCTTCAGACCCAGCTTTCTATCCACTGCACATCTCTTGAATACACTCCCTTCTCTCCTTTGATGTTGCCAACGTTCTGGTGCAGGGCCTTATCACCTCACATCTGGACTATTACATTAGCTTGCTGGTGGGTTGGCCTGCCTCAGGTCTCTCCCTACTCTAGTCCATCCTTCATATAGGCACTAACGTGATTTTCCTAAAGCATCGGTCCAACTATGTTTTACTCTCCCAATTCACTGTACTCTAATGGCTCCCTATGACCTCCAAGATCAAATACAAAATGCTCTACTTGGCATTCAAAGACTTTTACAACCTAGGCGCCTCCTACCTTTACAGCCTTCTTATACCTTACTCCCTGCCATGTACTCTTTAATCCAATGACACTGACTTCCTGGCTGTATCATGAATAAGACACTCTTTCTCTCGCTTCTGAGCATTTTCTCTGGCTGTCCCCCAGGCCTGGAATGCTCTCCCTCCTCATATCCACTTACTGGCTTCCCTGACTTCCTTTAAATCCCAACTAAAAGCTTCTTTACAAGAAGCCTTTGTCTACCTCTGTTAATTCTAGTGCTTTCCCTCTGCTAATTATTCCCTGTTAATCCTGTTTATTATTTGTGTATATTTGTTGTCACCCTCATTAGATTGAGAGCTCCTTGAGGGCAGGAATTGTCTTTTGCCTCTTTTTTGTATCCTTAGCATAGTGCCTGGTACATAGAAGGCATATAATAAATGTTTATCAAGTGAGTGATTCTGGTTAGTTTCTATCTCATCACATTATTATCAGCACAATATTTCTCATAACTTTCATTAGTTGAAAGATTCTGGTTGGTGAAAATACTGGCAAAAAAAAAAAATAAAATTCTTCAAATAGTAAATTTAGTTCTCCTAATACACAAATGGAAGCCAAGGCTGATGGATCTCTAGAGCAGTAGACTTCTGAGCCTCAGTGCTGAGGTGTCTACCCTAAGTTTACTCATTATGAGCCCTTGAGGTGATGGGGAGGGAAGAAAGAGCCAGCTGTTTAAGGAATGGCAGACCAGTCCAGGTCAAAAACAGAGCAGGTCAAAGCTTCCTGGCTTATCAGTGGCAGGGTCGGCCAATGAGTGGTAGTGGCACTTCCAGACTGGGCAAGATAGTGAGACCAAGTCGCACAAAACAAACAAATGAAGAAATTCATTGAAATTGTGCAAATAGCACTGAAGTGAGGACTCCTGGATTCAAATCTCAGCTCCTACAATGACCAACATTAAGTAAAGTGGGAAAAGCCCAAAGGTCACACATTTGCAAAAGCATAAGGATTTAAAATAAAATACTTCAGTCTTCTGAGTCTCCAATTCTTCCTCTGTGAAATGGATATATTTTTACCACATAACTTCCAGGACTGTTTTAGGAAAGTGCTTTCTAAAGTATAATAGAAATGTGAATTATTTTTGTTATTGTTACCACTACTACAACTGTTTTTGCAAAAGTTAATATTTATCTTGATGTTTGTCAGTTTCATAAAAAAATAAAGGCAATCCCTGAAGTATTAGATATGTCAAGAACCTGTGGTTTCACTCAGTGGGATCTCCTCCACACAGGCACATATTTAATCATCTTTAAGTTATAGCCTTAGAGAGCTGCCTGAGCTTCAGAGAGATAAAGTGAATTGTCCATGGTCACCAGTGTCAGTGGTAGAATATGAAGTGAATTCTTGCTGACTGCAGGGCTACCACCCTACACAATACTATGTTGCCTGTCTAAAAATGAAAACTTTAAAAAAAAAACTTTCAAGTGAAATATTTTCCAGATATAGACTCCAGTGATTCATGTACCATCTAAAATCTAAGTCATTAGAATCCATGAGCAAATATTCACATTTATAAACACCAAAGTTATGATAGATTTTTATACTTCAAAACTTCGCTATTTTCATTTGTGCCAAAAGGTGGCAGTAGTAATCTTATGTTGTATTTGGTTAAAAGCATTGAGTATTTAGCATCCCTGAATAAAATTCTCTCCTCTCCTTGCCCACATGAACTGTATTCATGATTTCATTTTTTCCAGGATTTGTTTCCAAGCTGTACAAGTGAAAATGGAATAAGTATTTGTTCGCAATGTCTGCATTCTCTGTGTAACAACCTAAGTTTGGAGACATACTTTATGCAAGGAAAGACCAAAAAACAAACAAACAAAAAAAAAAAAGGACAACTAAAAAAAAAAATCTTTTCTTTCTCTTTAATTTTAGGTTCGGTAAAAGCACCTGCAAAAACTGAAGATCTTATTCAGAGCGTCTTAACAGGTAAAGTAAAAATACCCCAATACCCAGAGCTCCTTGCTTCAGGCTAAGGTAAAGGGATGTGTGTGTGCACACTCAGATACTCCCTTTATTTGAATATTCCCTTAACCTTTCTTCTCTGTCATAAGGAAACTTGTCACTTTATAAACACCAGTTTTAGTATCAGTTAGGGATTAGATCAATGACAAAAATATTGAAGAATGACTCGCAATCAGAGAGTGTCTTAAGCCCTAGAATAATGACTCATTAAATAGTAACATCTGTTTTTAAATAGAGATTACTAACATGCTTTTCCATTAAAGCCTTTCTCTGATACCTCAATGTAGCATGGAGGTGACTTAGGTTTTGTAAAGCCTTTATTAATGAAACACAAACTCTGGCACATGCAACCAAGTATACTGTATTATCTTTCATGTGAAGACTTAAGTACTATAGCTAATTTTGATAAGTCTTTGTCCTAGCCTGAACACAGGACAATTTCTTTTTTGTTTTGGCCATGGCAACTCTTAAAAACCATTTATGAGTCATAGGTGAGTTGCATTCTTCATTGATGGAGGCAGTACTGACAATGAAGAAATCACAAACTCTTAAAGTATTGAAATAAAAATTTCAAAATAATCATGGATGAGTTATTGATCATAATATTAACCACAATTGATCACAGTGACCTCAATAGACCCATTACAGAACTAAAAACAGTTGGCAGTTGGAAACACAGAATCATATGTACTTTTGATAATAATTATAGCTAAATGACATCTGAGAATTCTTCCATCTCTCAGATCCTATGAATATACCTATGGTACTTCTTTATCAGTCATATAAATGTACTTCCCACATTCCGTGTACTTGAAACACTTTTAAGTGGATATTGTAAACCTTTGGTTACCAAAATTTACAGGCACATATTAGACAAATAAGAATTTACACATGAGACATATTAGCCAATTATATTAATCAATTAACCAATTATAGAGTCAGTCAGTTTTCATAATGATCAAGCTAAGTCCCAAAGAAGAGATGAAAAAATGTACTTCCCTCCTTTCCTTGCAGGCAGGAAGGACAGTATGGGTGTGGAACATTATATATACTGTCAGACTAGATTGTTGTATTTGGTTGTTTTTGCTGAACTGCTTTCAAGAAATGACTGGTTAGATAAGGGGAGGGGAAGGAAGGAAACAATGTCTAAGTACCAGGCCCATAAGTACTTTATAAATATCTCATTTCATCGTCACAACAACCCTGCTAAATAGGATTATTGTTATGCCTATTTTACAGTTGAAGAAACTGAGACAGAGATTAAATGACTTGTCCAGTGTCTCACAATTAGTGTTTGAGGCCAGCGTTGAACCCAGTATTTTCCTGACTCCAGGCCCAGTGCTCTATCCCCATGCTACCTCGCTGCATCTATATTTAATCTATTTGTTTAAATACATTCAGAAATGAAAGTAATATAAAATAAAATGTAATAATGAAAATTTTAAAAGAGCACACATTAAAAAAAGAATAAGTCAATTTAAACCCGAGAGCCAATAAATAAAGGTACCTACTTTTCCCCTCAATGTCTCTATAGAAAGGCACTTGAATAATGTCCAGATTTAAACTGTGAAATAAAATGATAAACCATTAAAACAACCAACAAATCTATGAGATGATATTTCAGTTCAGGATTTCAGAACAAATTTTTTTTTGATCAAGAAACAGCAGGATGAGCTTTAAAAGTGTCCCTAACTTTGCAGTCATATGAATTGTGATTTATCTGGGTTCAGAGGTGGTATATAACCCTCATCACTGTTTCCCCATCCACCCACCCACATAAACAGACATGTGGAAAGGCTGGAGCCATCTTCAATTCATTTGATTCAACAACCCTATATTAGGCATTTCCTGTGTGCCAGGTGCTGTGTTAGGTGCCAGAGGTACTTGAGTGAAATAATTCCTGCCCATATTTTCCTGATTTCATATAACGTGTTCACAAATAAAAATACAAAATTATAGGAGAAAGTAACTCACAACCAAGCAGATCAGTAAAGGCCTGGTATATAGCAGGTGGCACATGAATTTAGCCTTGAAGGGAACCAAAGATTGGAAGAAATGGAGGTAAGGATGCAATGCATTCTACCTCTGGGGGAAAACCTAAGCAGTGAGCTATTTGGGGTGCTAATTTCTTGACTGGATTTTTCATAATGTCAATTACTCTAGTATCAACCTATTATCCATTCTGTAATTAATTTTCTTTCCATATATATAGTTATTAATGTCACAAAAATGTTTGATTTATTCAAACATTGCATTTTTTAAAAAAAAGTTTTCAGTATTACAAGCTGAATATTTTAATCTAGGGCCACAAACATTAAGAACAATAAGCTGATGACAGGTCCACGTAGTATCATTCAGAATATATTAACAGCAGCACTCCAGCTTATCCAAAGATTTTAATTCCTTGGATATAGATTCTGCAAAATAATATTGGCCCATCTTTCCCAGGATCCCCAAAAGAAGGAATCTGACCCATTAGTAAATTTTGGTTGAACGTTCCTAAAACACTTGTCCTTTTAGTTATCTGCTACTGTGTTTTTTTGCAGATGTGGAAGCCCAGACAATTGAAGAGTTAAAGCAGCAGAAGTCTTTTGTTAAACTTCAGAAGAAACATTACAAAGAAATGAAAGACCTTGTGAAGAGACATCACAAGAAAACCACTGACCTCATCAAAGAACACACTACAAAGTACAATGAGATCCAAAATGATTACTTGCGAAGGAGGGCTGTCCTAGAAAAAAACGCAAAAAGGGACAGCAAGAAGAAGTAAGTTGAATGAATGTCCTTTCTTATTTTAACACCAAAAATCTGAAACCAGTCACATGATATTTGAGGTTCTTGAAGATTTTATTCTAAGAAAAGGCAATCTGGTAGAGTGGAAAGAGCTACGAATTCAGGGTCAGAGAACCTATGTTACAATCCCACCTCTGTCCCCTAATTACCTTTGTGACCTTGGGCAAGTCTCTTGAATTCTCTAGACTTCAATTACCATATCTGGAAAATGAGGTTTATTGGACTACATGTCCTTTGAGGTTCTTGCCTGCTCTGGATTTCTGATTGTGCTAGAAAATAATATACTCTACCCCCTCAGTTTAGCCTCCTCTGATGGGTTGAGACTCTCTAGTGAGAAGTATGGAGATCAAATAATATACCCTATATGCATTAGGGCAGCTAGGTGGCACAGTGGATAAAGTGCTGGGGCGGGAGTCAAGAAGACTCATCTTCCTGAATTCAAATCTGGCCTCAGACACTTACTACCTGTGTGACCCTGGACAAGTCACTTAACCCTGTTGGCCTCAGTTTCCTTATCTGTAAAATGAGCTGGAGAAGGAAATGGCAAGCCACTCTAGTATCTTTGCCAGGACAACCTCAAATGGGGTCGCAAAGAGTCGGGCACAACTGAAACATCTAAACAACAACAAAATATGCATTACTGTAAACACCCTTAGCCACTGAAATCCTTGTGGCTGAATTTTGCTTTGAAAACAGTTGATAAACACAGGAGACACATAAGACTGGTTTAAGGCAATGAAGTGTCCCATGATAGGACAGTAACTTATAGTGGAAAATTTTCACATTCTCTTTCCTTAATTTGTTGTTCAATGCTTTTCACATCTTTGGGGTTACCGGGGAAAGGACAATTAATTTTCTACAAACCCTACTCGGGACTCTTACCTTTTGCCTAGAATATAAGTGAGATATCTTAGATACTAAAGGCAGGCAGGTGGTGCAACGTATAGAGCTCTGGGCCTGGACTCAAGAAGATCTCATCTCCCCGAGTTCAAATCTGGCCTCAGACACTTACTAGGTCTGTGACCCTGGGCACTCATTTCACCCTGTTTGCCTCAGTTTCCTCATCTGTAAAATGAACTGGAGAAGGAAATGGCAAATCACTCTAGTATCTTTACCAAGAAAACCCCAATGGGGTCACGAAAAGTCAGACACAACTGAAACAACTGTACAAAAACAACAACGACCTTAGATACCAAGAAAATATGATGTATTTTATCTACTAATTTGAAGGTTTTTCTGCTAAATATGTGTTTAGTCTTAAACAGCAAGGTCTAGATAAATTCAGTTTTTGTGGAATTCTATTGCACTTTGAATTTACTTTGATCACTCATATAAGATACATAATGCAAATTTATAATCTATGTTACTGTGTATGGCCAGTTTCCATAAACAATATTTATTACATTCAATGTCCAAAAGAAAATTGGAAATAAAAATCTAGTTTCCTGTTAACAAAGTTAACATTGTTTCATTATGGCTCAAACATGTTCCTTCCTTAAGGTTAGTTAATCTTCATATTTTTTTTCAAAGTAAAATTTTATTTCAAGTATTAAAAAACTCAGAGTTTAGGAAATTAAATGTAGATTTTTTTAAAGTAAAACTATCATTTTAGACTCATTGTATTTTAGAGTACATTTTATTTCCAGCTAGAAATTCTCAGTGGATTGCATTCTCCTTACATCATTAGTCTAACTATTGGCCTGTAGCTACAGAATACAAATTACTAATTTTTTTTTAAAAATTTTTTCAGTAGACTTCCAGAATGTTCCTTGTACTGAAAAAGAACAAATGAAAAGGCATGGTACAATTAAAGACTGTCAGTGATCTGAATAACTTTGTAGAGGCACATGTGGAATATATTATGTACTAACTGAGGTTTCAATTTGGAGAAATCATTGTCATTGAAAACTGAAGTGCTGTTTGCCTACTGCTAAAGCTTCGGTGCTCTACCTCAGTATGTTTAATAATTAGGCTGCAATATTATTCTGAATCTTGTTATACCAGCTTTGTGGTGAAATGGGTCCCATGCTGTCACATAAAGGCTGTAATTAGGCACACTTGCATATGGAGAATATGAAATGACCAAACATGCTCCCCTAAATTAAAAACAGATGTCCCAGGTTTAGTTCTATCAAAATTTCTTAATATCCATGAACAATATAGATTTTTTTCTGATCATTATCTGTTAGCACCATTGACAGAAATACTGATACAAAACTGTAGCTAAGTTTTCTCCCATACTTTGGAAGGGGGAGAAAGCCTCTATAACTTTAGCTTCTCTCGTGTCTTATTTTTATTTAGTTCCAAGTTCTTGTCTCCTATTTGAAGAAAAGGCCTGCCTTAACAGGCTGCCTGGTGCCAGTTTATCCAAGTAAATGAACTATCAACATTCCAGTTGGGTCACTGTGTTGAAAAGAGTAGAAGTAGAAGTCCAATGTGGTCATCCTGGGCAGCTGTTTATTCTTCTCTCCCAGAGTGGCCCTAATTTAAAATGGCAAAAGAAGTATCCTGTCAGCCTCTTCTCCAACCCTCTCTCTCCCTGTCTTTTGTGTTTGTACAAAAAATACAAATGTCAGAAAAATGACCCCACAATTCCAACCAAAACCAACACTTCAGGATCATTTGTTTGCATTCTTTAAAATGTTCTGCAAACTCTATCAACCTCCCTATTTAATCATCCTCATCTCTTCACTTGCACCTAAATTTCTTGACAAGCGTACAATTTTGGCAGTGTGGCATCGTCAAGGTTGGAGTTGAGATTTGGAAGACCAGAGTTCAAATTCTGCCAACCTCCAAAGTAACTCATTTTCTGGATGCCTCAGACAACACCTTGGAATTTGTCTACTATGTCATAGATGGGTGTAGGAATTCCACCACTGATGAATTCATAGATCTTCCATGTACTTTTATGCTATTTTGGTACAGATACAACAGAAGAGGTTGTATAGCAGGGAAAAGCAGGGTTGTATAGCATAATGATGATGATGATGATGATGGTGATGATATTTATAATAATAATAGCTAACATTTATATAGCACTTACTGTGGGCTAGGCACTGTACTAAACACTTCATGATCACTATCTCGTTTAATGCTCACAACAATCCTGGGAGGTAGGTGCCATTATTATATGCACTTTACAGAGGAGGAAACTGAGGCAAACAGAAGCCAAGTTACTTGCTCAGGGTTACATAGCTCATGAGACTGAGACTGAATTTGAATTCAGGTCTTCTTGACTCCAGGGCCTGAGCTCTATCCACTGCACTGCCTAGCTTTATAGTAAGCCTTTAATAAATGCTTGCTGACTGACTGACTGACTGAATTTTCCAAGTGAATCTCTTGGGCTTGGTTTTGCAGATCTGAACCCAGCAGCCCTGATCACGGCTCTTCAACAATGGAACAAGACCTGGCTGCCCTGGATGCAGAAATGACACAGAAACTGGTGGAATTGAAGGACAAGCAACAGCAGCAGCTACTGAATCTGCGGCAGGAACAGTATTACAGTGAAAAATACCAGAAACGAGAACACATCAAGCTGGTAAGTCAGAGAAGCACAAGCCAATTTCAGAACTGCTCTTAAAACCAGTCACAGACCAGAGATCTGCGTTATTGGGGTTAAAATCTTCCCCTGCCTACATTTCTTGGGATCACAAAACTTAACCATTCATTTCATTTCAACAGACATGTATGAAATACATATTATGTATAATGTATGTAATCAAATACATATTAAGTATATAATTAAGTACATATTACATGTGTGATTAAATGCATAGTATGTATTATTAAATATATTATATATTATTAAATACATATTATGTATTATTAAATACATATGATTAAAACACTACAGATCCTAGGAGTTGAGCACGTAAAATCAAATGTGGGTATTCATGCATGTGTGTGCTTCTAGACGTGTTTTTTAAGAGGAAGGCGATGAGAAGGAAATCTTCTCATCCAATGAAGATCAGCAACTTCTCCGCACTTTTTATTCTCAGAGAGCAGCCCGGGGCCCTGAGAGGTTAATTGACCTGCCCAGGGTTACACAGTCAGATTGTGTCAGAGGTGGGAATGATCCCAAGTCTAACTGGCTTCAAAACCAGTTCTCTATACACAACATATGGATGAATCTCATGCAAGGCTATGACATAGAAACAAATGGCTAAGATATAAGGCAGAGTGGAATAGGGGCAAAAAGAAAACTCCGACAAAACGTTCTAGGAAAATTGGAGGAAGAAGAGATCACTTTCCACTGGAGATATCAGGGAAGGGGTAGCACCTGACCTAGGCCTTAAAGCCAGGATTTAGGAGGAAAAAATGAGAAGGAGTAAGTTCCAGGCACCACGTGTAGGTTAATACATGTCCTTGTCAAAAGTGAAGCCATTTACACGTAGGGATTTCAAAGTGGTATCAGATGACTATACATTTGTTACAAGAGTTTTCTTTCTTTTTCTTTTCAATGGGTAAGGGGATTGGGAAGAGGGAGAAAATAGATTTTTGTTTACTAAAAAAAAATAAACAAAATTAAACATAAAAAAATGCAACGTGATACCAGAACTTGAGGCATTTAGCCTGGAGAAGAGACAGCTTAAAAGAAGCATGCTTGCCTGTCTGAAAATATTGAAAGTACTACCCTGTCAAAGAGGGATTAACCATAATAAACCTAAATCCAAAGGAAGAATTAAGACCAACGTGTGGAAACCACAGGTTTTAGTTCAACAGCTTAATTTGATTCAGCAAACATTTTTTAAGCACCATTATGTTCAATGCAGGCCTCAAAGCCAGGAAGATACTGGTTCAAGTTTCATCTGTGACTGGCTCTGTGACCTTGGACAAATCACTTAACCTCTACATGCTCTAAGCACCTCTCTGAAAACTGTCAAGTTTGATCCATATCAGTAGAAGGTGTTTATCTCATCCAGGAGTTCTCCATACAAGTGAAATCACAGCTGCCATCCCTATACCCATGTACAAGGAACTGTGCTAGGCAGGAGTGTTACAAAAGCAAAAATGACACCATTCTCCACCCTGAAGGAGCCAACATTTGACTAAGGAACTCTGACTTGTAAATAAATAGTACATAGAAGTTTAAGAAGGAAAAGGGTATTAATAATTTGTTGAGTGAGGGAAAGTCAGAGAAGGGTTCTATTTAATACTATTTAATAGTTAATTTAATTATTATTTATTTAATTTAATTACCAATTATTTATTTAATACTATTCTTCACTGTGCTGGAAAAAGAAAAGAATTTGGATAGCATAGTGAGGAGATGGAATATCACATTTGGAAAAGAGCTAGTAATCTAGTTTGGCTAAAACAAGAATGTGGCCAAAGGAATAGTATCAAATAAGCTTAGAAAGGTAGAGCTTCTTAACATTTAGAAGTATATAAAAATATGATGGCCTGCTTCATGGGGTAGTGAGTTCCTTGATACTGGAGGTATTACAAGAAAGGACACAGTGATTATGAGCATGTCATTGGCTAATGCATTTTTTTTAAATGCCACAAATTTAAAACTTAAAATAGGAAGCTTAGTTCAGTGTTTTCTCATTAGCTCTCCATTTTTAGTTACTCCCTGTTGGCAGGTGAGCAAAATAATTTTTTTCACTCAAAAACAAGGCTATGCTGATTGGTACAGGAACCCCAAAGCCGTATGTACTGGGGGAAGTGGTATGTCAGCCAGGGGATTTATTTTGCTTTTCCTATCTCAATATATGTCACCTCCTTTGCATTATATTGATGTTCTTTCTCCCTGTATTTTTGTTCCTTATTCCTGGAACCAAGTCTGGTGGGTTTCTCCACAGTGAGCTAGCCATCGACTATTAGAGTCTCTTGAAAGGCTACCAGTAGATGGATGATGATGTTAGTTATATTATAATGTGCCTGGTCACTCTTTTTTCTCTCTCATTCAGCATATTCTTCCCTTTCAAAACAACTTAGTGTGAAGTGTGTTTTGCTTGAATGTATCCATACCCAGCTGGGAAGGACACATCCATCACACATAGTATATTATAATCTATGTCCCCTTCCATCTCAGTTTGCAATGACTGAAATCAGAAAATTCACTAATAGTGCTTCTAAATAGGCAATCTCTTATCTGAATCATTCTTAAAAACTGATTATGCAAATCTCAAACTAAATTTTCTTGCCTATTATAAGAGCAAAACTGGTACAATTCTTCCAGAAATTTCTACTGCAATGGCACAGACTTTGTTTTGATGATGAAATTAAAATATAATAAAAAATGTATCTCCCTCAGATTCTGACAGTAACATAATCAGTTTATTCAATTTCTATATCCAAAGATTTTTTTTCCCTAAGCTTATATATTTCTTAGTGCATGAATTTAGGACTTCTTAGTCATATAACCTTTATTTGAAATCATATCAAGCTTTTTTCAACTGCATGATATGATTGTTCAGCACCAACAATTCCTGATTTTCAAATGGCAAAATTTAACTATGTTTTAAAAACCCTGTTTAAAGTATTACTCCTAGCTATGATGCTTAGAATTCTGGTAGCTATCACTAGTTGAATGGATATCTGTTAATGGGCAAATATGGGATCTCCTCAAGTTTAGATAAGAGAAGCAGCAATAGTGTGTGTATATGTGTGTGTGTGTGTGTGTGTGTGTCTGTGTATAAGCAAATAATCCTTTTTCTATAGACATAAAACTCATAATAACAGCACAATTTAACTAAGGCTCACTATTCTTGTTTACTCAGTTAAAAAAGATTTAATGAAATACAAATATCTGGGTACAAGTAAAATACTTTCTCTCATTAAATCCAACTGTTATCAATTACCACTTAACTTTATCTTTTCTGTTCTACTCTCAGAAAAACCTTCAAGTTCTCTTACTTTTATTGCATCTAAAAGTCCTGGAGCATGACCCTTAAAAGGCTGTCAGTAGGTTAAGGAATGATAGCCCTTACAAGTTCTTTCTCCAAGGTTAGCTAGCAGGCATTGATGCCAAGACTTCCTTAAACCATTGCTCAGTTCCTAATACAACTTCCCTGTCTTCTTAGATTTAGGGAATCTAATCTACTTTTTCTCTACTCCTTCATTTCTGCAAGTTTTCTCTTTTAAGTCAGAAACAAAATGATGAAGGAAAAAAAAAAAGTCATGTTGCTTTTCTCTCATATGTTAAAGTCTAACTCCAAGAAAACTTCTCAGCTGTTAGGGGAAAATTACTTAGCAACCAGCTCAGCCCATTTGATTTCATCAGTACTTAAATAGCATTGTCTCATTTGCCTTGTACTTAAAAAATTAAAAATTAAAAAAACAAACCTTCTTAACTATTCATTAAAAAGACAAAACGTTTTTTTTCCTCCTCTGAGCATTTTAGAACAGATTTCAGTTAATGAATTAAGATATCCAGGGGGATATCGTTGCAGGTTGATGGAAAAAGCACATTGGATTTAGAATCAAAGGATGTGGGTTCTAATCTAGTTCTGCAATTTACTTACTATCTATTTAACTTTAGTCAAGTCATAGACCTCTTTGGGGCTCAGTATCCTCACCTGTAAAATGAAAGGATAGAGCTAACATAACTTCCAGGGTTGCTTCCAGGCCCGAGTCTGTAGTGCTATTTTGTACAAAAATAAGTTAGCCAAAAAATAATTCAATGCATTTCATCCATGCAAAAAATGCATTAAGGGATGGGAAATGATGTGGGGAAGGAGAGTGTTGGCTGAAGAATTTAGAAACAATGAGAAAAAAAAGCAGTAGTCAACACATGACAATGGGGTTCAATAACTGGAGAGGATAGATGAGTGCTCACATCATGAGAGATCAGAGGGATGATAGTCAAGTACTCTGGATTTAGTAGACAGAAACAGGAGCTGGGTCAAGCACTAAGCATCATAATGACCCAAATTTTTAAGGCCACAGAAAGACGAGATGGCAGTATTACATATCTAGACCTGCTAGGGACTTCAGAGAGCATCTACTCTAACCCCTGATTTTATAGATAAGGATCTGAGGTCTCAAGAGATTAAGTCACTTACCCAAAGCCACATGGGATTTGAACTCAGGTCATCTGACTCCAGGGCCTCTGTTCTTTCCACAATGCCACAACACTCTCCTATCAAGATGAGTATTCCTGACAGTTCTCTCCAGGGAGTTTGCCTGAGCCAGGCCCCAAAGAAATGACTTTCACCCTGTCTTTCATATTCACTGTTAATTTGAGGCTTGTGACCTAATAGAAAAACTTTGTGAGGCCACTGTGACTCTTTCATCAGCAAAACTGTCTCTAAAAACTCTGTCATGACAAGTGTTGAGGCAGTCTTAGTGTGGTTAGTGAGATATCTCAAGTTGGTGATATGGAAACGGAGAGAACAAGGCATTACTATACCTGCCCCAGGCCAAAGCATGTATTCAGCCAGAACTGTGTTTGGGGAAAACATTTGTGATAAATGTCATCTGTCTTTCTATAATAACAATTGGGCTAGAGTCAGCAAAGTGAATTGCTCGACCTAGATTCAGGAAGACAGAAGTTTAAATCCAACCTCAGATACTTTCTATTCTGCGAAATGG